ATATATATATATATATATATATATATATATATATATATATATATATATATACCCTGTACACTGGGCGATGCGCTGAAGCTATTGAAATATTGCAAGTATTCCGTCTGACGCAGAGATGGCTGATGATCACCGTTTCAGGTAGCGTGAAGAAGCACAGAACAGCAACAGTTCATCATAAAGAACAAAAGTTGCAGCGTTAGGATTAAACAGACGCGAAACGAAGACTGCCGCACACGCCTTGTGTACAGGGATAGCCGTATATAGGGTTGATGCTTACGGGGGCCGCGCTGCTGCCGCGGTGCCGTTTCATCACCCGCACGGTTCCTGAAAAGGAGTTTGCTGCAGCTTGTGTTTCACGTCGTTTAAAGCCTAAAGCCGCAAAGTTTGTTCTTTATGATGAACTGTTGCTGTGCTGTGCTTTTTCACGCTACCCTAAACAGGGATCATCAACCACGTCTGCTTCAGGCGGAGTATATGCAATATTTCAATTACTTCAGCGGCACGACGACGTGCAGCAGCCCATTGTCGTGCTGCTAAACATCAACATTCACAGCGATGAGACGAGCGGTTAACACCAGCAATGCAGAGATAGCAGCCTGCAACGAACGCTTCAGGTCAGTTGTGTCTTGGCTGTCTGTTGTAAGAAAGCAATAGAGAGAAGTATATGCACAACCGAACCGAGGACTCCTCATGCATGCATGACTGTCGTTTTCGCCTAACAACTTCGTTTTTCAAGCAAACATATCCTGAAACTTTCTAATGAGGCATTCGCGCCCAGACGTGTGAGCACCGGCTGCTCGTACACGCAGACTCTGGTTCGTCTTTTAGCCTAACACGCAAGAATCATGTTTCCGGCCGGCGCTGGGGAGGGTTTGCATGGGGATGTTGATATTCGTAAAGTACGCGGAGTAAAAGACAGAAAATATTAAATATGAAGTTGGGTGGCTCGACTACAAACACGGGACCAGAGGCCACTTTGTTGCNAGACAGAAAATATTAAATATGAAGTTGGGTGGCTCGACTACAAACACGGGACCAGAGGCCACTTTGTTGCTTGATAAATGTATCCGCAGCAACGATCACCAGCTGTCTTTTCGCTCGCGTCAAGGCCACGCATACTCTGTGAGGACACGTAAGAAAATCCGGAGTGCCGCCGCGCAGTAACTGCTGCTGCACTGAAGCGGCTCCGTGCACATGTGCATGTGAACGCACAAGAGAAAGGAAAATTACTTCCTTCTCTGACCCCTGGAAGGCGTCAACGGTGGAGATTTGTACCGAATCTACAACTGCCTTTGGCAGTACTCTCAACAGGTGTCTCTTGACCTCGTCCGCCTGTGCGCGATAAAAACATATTACGCCCAAGTCCTCCGGTCTGGGCCGCTGTGCTGGACCCCCCCCACCTGCTAGCCCGGGGTATCCCGAGGAGGGGGCTGCTTGTTTGCTCTGCAGCGCATGCTGCACTAGACGTGCAACCACCGCTGCCTCTTGTGCGTTTATCAGCGACCGTCCAGCTTTTGTTTCCCGACTCCCTCTAACAAGTGCTAAGCACAACGCCCCTCTCCACTCAGGCAGCAACGGTAGCCGCTGCGCTGCACTCACGCCGTGAGCNGTGCTAAGCACAACGCCCCTCTCCACTCAGGCAGCAACGGTAGCCGCTGCGCTGCACTCACGCCGTGAGCTACAAAAGCCCCGTAAAACAACTCCGCAGCCAAGCGTCCCAAGTCGGGGTGGCAGCGGTACTGCAGACGCATTTGAAACACGCTGAAAAACGGACCCCCCCGTGGCAGCTCACTGCTCTGAGAAGTCTGGGATGCGTCTTTTTCAACATTTTGAGCCGAGCAACTCTGCGTTTCGTTAGCCACAGAAGGCAGCGCTGCACGATGAAGGAGACGGGAGAAGAGGGAGGATGCAGTCGCTGATACGGGGCCCCGAAGACGCGTTGTCGGGGGCAACTGCCGCGTGTCACCAAGGAAGATGCAACGCAGCGGATGAGCGCGTGTTAGGACAGCCGCAGCCAAGGGCTCTGCAACTTGAGATGCTTCGTCCATCAGCAGAAACGGAAAAAAGCTTGCTGCTGTTCCTTCTGAGGCAGCCCCTCTAAACCCCCCATCAGAAAACAGATCACTGCTCGCAAAGGAGCTACATGTTGTTGCCCAGATGCGCCGGCGCTTCCATTGCTGCAGCATAGACACCGACGCAGCAACGAAACAGCTGGAGGAGCAGACTAACCGCACGGCGTCCTGCAGTGCTCAGCTTTTCAGAAACAACAAATGTTTATTCCTACAAAAGCACGCTTTCAAGTCTATCCTATCCTGCATATAGTGCGTTGTACGGTGGCTGGCCAACCTGCATCGAGGGAGGAAAGGAGCCGCTGTCAATGCTTTGGAGGAGCTGCTTCGCCATAGTTGCGAGGTTCGTGCGCGCACCAGGCGCAGAGAGGAGGCCAGACAAAACGGCCTTGAACTCGTGCACGGCTGTATTGCGTGCAGCACTGCTGCAAATGGCATACGGGAGTAGAGCAGGTTGCATCTCTGATAGGCGGCCAATGCGAGCAAAGTCGCAACACTCATACTGCCGCAGCAGCCGCAGCAACACGCCATCCACTGCTGCATTGGTTGCACACACCAACAGCACACGGCTGCGGCTCTTCGCTAGATCCAGGAGCCTACACAGTCGCACATCGATACAAACGGAAGCACGCATAAGAGGACTGCAAGACAGAACCGAATGCAGAACCCATACACCCCGCTAAGCAATGATGGCGCATATGCTGACTGTCGCCCATACCTGCATAGAGTCGCTAGAGAGGCTGCCAGCATGGTAGTTTTGCCTGCGCCAAAGACACCCTGGACTAGAAAAACAGGAGCCGACGAGGCAGGCATATTAACTGCTGTCGACGCCAGCGAAGAAGCAAGGGTAACGGATACAGGAGGAGGCTCCAGCGTGGCGGATGGGCCGGTCTCCTTAGGAGGCTGCTGGGCTGGTTGGGCCTTGAACTGCTTCTCACTATCGGCGACGCCAACCTTAGAATTCTCATCCTGCAGAGGAGTGCATGTTTTGGCTTCACTACCAACGGCCAGTGAATCGTGGGCAGTAGAGGCGAGCGTGGCTGTACGCAGATCCTGAACGTTTCGGTCCGTAACTACCGCGCTAGGCTGGTCCAGGCGAAAGCTAGAGTTTTCCTCAGGGCGCCTGTCCACCCCTGAACATTCCTCTCCCGGCAGCTGAAGTTCATCCAAGTCATCTGCATAAAGACATATGTCCGCGATGTCGTCGTCATCTGGCGAAACCGCGGGTGCACAAACCGTGTTACTGCCCTCTACCGCTACGGCGGAACTGTTGAGATCTCCAGCCTCTTCCTGTTTTTCAGACGGGGTCGCCTGAGACTTGGACTGGAGGGCTGAGTGCTTGTTGTCCTGGGAAAATATGGAGGAATCACCCTGCTGCAGCTCCTGAGAATTTTCACTACGATTAACTTGGTTTTCGCATCCCTCTGCATCCCCATGTTGCTTCTCATGAAGCTGCGCTTCATCTCGGGGTCCAAACGGGCGACGCCCATCGGTGTAGCCAAACCATCTCGAAATCGCAATAATGACTCGCTGTTGTTCTTCATTAAGCATCCAGCTGCCTCCGCCACTGGAGCATTTGCACAGCACGGCCTCTGCGTCTTCGCTGCTTACATCCTGCACGAACCACCCCGCAGCACCCCTACTTTCCATGGGCAAACACTCTGAATAAACAGTCACGAAACACTCCTTTCAAGACGAGATATTCAAGAACAGCCCTTTCTCACGTAGCGCTTACCAACTTGATGAGTTGTGTAACTGTTGTCTCTGCTTCACGACAAGTTTCAGCTCCAAATCCTGGACAGCCAAGACCAATAACACGAGCAGCGCACGCCCTTCCAAGTTCCACTGCAGTATCCAAACACTTCAAGTTCAGTTCAGGGACCACTTTCAAGTTCTTGAGAGCCATTTCTGCCTACGCAGTTCACAAAGTCAGTCGGTAGACAGGTGGCGAAATCATCAGGTGATAGTTGGGCATTGCTACGCAAGTACTTCGGTTAAAAGGTGTACAGAGAGGATGTGTCTTAATGCCGGGGTCAGGCTCATGCAATGGAGCAAGCAGAAGTTGGAAAGTATAAGGTCGGTGATCTGGTGAAGCGATGTACCCTAAAAAGTCGCTGACATGCCTCAATAGAGGAAAGTTCATCGTGGAGTCGTCCAACCCAAATGGCTTTAACCCCTCCAATAGCCCGGCATCTTCCTTGCAGCAGCTGGCGAATCTGAAGTAGCAGCGGTGGAGGAGCTGGTAAGGACGCCCGTGTGAACTGCCCATTAGCTGCAAAACGAATCAACGGAACTCGAAGGGGGTTTTGAGCAGCAGGCCAAGGACCTAAAACGGAAACCTTTATGCAACACGTGTGAGGGCTCGCCCCACGCCACATGCTTCGCGCCAAAACGACCTTGGACCAATCTTCAAAGTGCTCTGAGAAAAAAGCAGAAAACGAGAAAACGCCTGCTCATCGCAGGTCATTAGAGCCGCAGGGAGGCTCAAGATTCGGGTACTGTAACTCCATGCGCAGCGCTCCACATGAACGCATGGGCGGTGCACTTTCTCAAAACACCAGCTCCTCTAGATGTAAAACCGTCGTAGAAAATTCAACACCCGTTGTCTGAAGATGCATCGGGACAGCCTCCATACCGTCAGTGGAAAATGCCCATATGTCGTTGCGTCCAAGCTGTTCTTTAATGGATGCTGCCTTTTCAAAAGGCATGCTAGACCTTTTCTGCGCAGGGTGACCTTCCAGCACAGGCTTGGGGGGGCCTGACAAGATACTGGCTCTTGAGAGGTCAAGGAGAAGACCCGGCTGCCTCGGGACACCCGCCTCGCATTCACTGCCANGATACTGGCTCTTGAGAGGTCAAGGAGAAGACCCGGCTGCCTCGGGACACCCGCCTCGCATTCACTGCCATCAGAGGTGTCCTCCTGATCATCGGTTTCACTTTCCGAGCTGACAGCCTTTCCAGAATCGATCCGCCGCCTTTTCCGCTGGCGCAGCTGGTGTGACCGCCGCAGTTGCTGTTGCTTTGCTTTCCTCTGTCGGTGGGCCTGATACGCAACGCGCTCACCCAAACATATTTTCATCGTTCATAGATGCGCTTGCTGCCTATGAATATGATGAGGTAAACTAGCAACAGTAAGGCGTGCTGTTTTACTCATCCAAGAGATGCGTTTCAACACACTCTGTTCGTTGTATACTCGCCACCTCTCCTAAATTCTCCACTTGGCTTATGTCAGCGTTTTGGGGGTAAGCTAAACAACTCGTCTGTCTGTCTTGGTCTAGTTTCTGCGAATGTGCCTCTTCGCTTTCATGAACTTGCAGCGAAACAACTACTTTATGGATATGCTATTGTCCTGCCACCGTATGCTATCTACCGGCTTCATTGTAGCCTCCCTACTGCTTCTCTGTAGAGTCCGTGGAGAGGCGTACCTCTGCAACTCTCTGCTGGAAACCAGAATGATGCTTTCCATCAAGACGGATGCATGCACCTTCTAAGAGAAAGCGGACCTCACCCACTCCTGGTGAACCTGTGACAGCTGCAAGGAAGCGTCAGCAGTACACAAGCCGTGTGCGCAGTGTGAACGTCAGGCTGCTATGAGGCAAACTTCCGTCGTTAATTGTTGAAAAGCTTATATTCATTAAACAAAAATGAGTTTCTGCAAACTACTACCAGGCGGGCTGCACCCGTATGCAGTTCCTGGGGATATATACGCGGCAGGAAGACCTACTGCCGTTGCTCCAACTTATGTTTTGTGCAGTTTCTGTCAGAGCTGCTTGCAGCGACACAAGGATGCTGTTGAAGTAGCGCAACGCCAATTGATTTGCCCTCAGTGTCGTCCCCTCCAGGGATGTAGAGAGAAACAGGTGACGTGCAGCCGCGAATGCCGCCTAGATGCATGCAAAAAACAACCTTACCCCAAGCCATAGATTCTAGAGAGAATCCATACCGCGACATATGAAGCTTACTGGACGTTACGGAGTCAGCACAAATATCGAAAGCTTCCACAACTACGATGCCACAACCTAAATGCGTCCCCGTCTCACGTTGAAAGGAGGCGTCTCCGTCGGAGCCGTGCAGAAGGTGACAGGGACAAAGTCTACCAAGCTTTCGAGTTGCCCGTCAGGCAGTTCTTCAGCTAGCAACAGAGGAGGCGCTTCAGGCGGCGGGTCCTGCACAGCGCTACCCGCATCTGGCGGAAATTGTTGCAATTTCCCAGGTTGGCAAGGCTCGCGCTGCTGCACCTGTAGATGCTGCTGGAGTTCTGGTCTCGTTGCCGTTTGTCCTGCGCAGTTTCGCGCGCCAGCTGCTTCATTAGATCCCACATATGGAGCAAGTCCTGCAGGTTTGGCGACGGATCTGACGCATGCCGCCCCTGGCCCCAGTCCATTGGCGCGGCTCACGGAGATGTTCGCACTGCCCTGGCCGTTAATATACGAAGGCACTTGCGCTCCACAGTGCGCTGGCGGCACGCATCCCCCGGCCAGCGCGAAGAACCTGCTCCTGCGCTCGGTGTTGCGCGGAGAGCCCGCACCACTGCTGACTGGAAGAGGAGCTCCTGCGCTGAAAGAGGCAGCTGCTGAGGGCACAGCCATGCAGCCTCGCGGTGGAGCGTGACTCCCCTCTCTTTGCACTGATGCGGGGCCCTCTGCAGCGACCTCTACCGGCGCCCCATACTGAAAGGCAGTGTTTGAATTTGCCTCGAGAGAGTGNGGCCCTCTGCAGCGACCTCTACCGGCGCCCCATACTGAAAGGCAGTGTTTGAATTTGCCTCGAGAGAGTGGAGTTCCTGCCGCGATGGCGCCGCAACAGCTGCAGGGCAGCGCTCAACGGCAGTCCAGGGTTCAGACTGGGAATTCCCCCCATCTAACGTATCTCCCTCATCAGCCGGAGTTGAAATTTCTTGAATATTCGGGAAAGCTAGGTCTGCTTGGCTTTCCAGCTGCCGGAGTTGCGGCAGAGCCCCAGTCTGAATTTCATTGAAAAGCCCGCGGAAGAAGTCAGCCACGCCGCTGCCCGTTCCCACGCACGGCTCAGCGAAATGGCAACAATCTAAGCCACCGCAGCACAGACAGATCGAAGAAAGCAGTGCTTTAGCGCCGTTCACAGCCCACGCCTCCTCTAAGGGAAGCGGCTCCAACACACTCGGTGGCTCCTCTGCGGGTCGGAGCAACGGAGGCACAAATGGGGCACAGGTCCCAGTGGAGCGGTGGCTCTGTGGATGAGCGGATTCCAATTCTTTCCATCCTGATTCATTAAGAACAGAATGCCCAAATCCCGCTTCCTGCGGCGGCACGGGTGCAGGCCTCCTGAAGCCCTGAGGGGAAACTCCATTAGGCCGAGGCAAGCCCCCGGCAAGGCGCCGCTTCGGGAGGACTTTAACCCGATCCGCTGAAGCAGCAGACTGTGAATTCGATGAAGAGAGGGATCCTGGAGCCTTCTGAACCTCTGCAGAATGAGGCTGAGGCTGAGCCTGCAGCTTCTTCTGTCCACGCAAAGGCTGAGGGTTCCCCAACAATTGAACCAAATGCACTTGGAGTTCAATTTCCTGTCTGCGCAAACAACACCGCAATCGTACACAAGTCTAAGCTAAGCATCTATCAGAGACATTCGTGTTGCCGTGCCCTCGGTTCTACACATCCAAGGGGAAAAGCATGCTTGCAGTATTTGAAAAATCCATTCATTTGCGTTCGTAGCAGTGCATACACCGTAAACACATGGAACTTGTTGTGTCCAAGAAGAGTGTCGATAAGACACTGCTAATGCAACTGAAATCCTGTTGTGCCCTCCTAAGAAAGCTGATATCGCCTACAGGCAACAGAAACTCGATAGCAGCAACTACGGTGAATACTGCGGACGACGCAGCAGGCCAGTAAACCGACCCATTCAACGAACTCACTGCGCCACAGCCTCTGGGGTGTTGGGAGCAAGCCGCCAAACCTCGAGGGGCTCGCTGCTGATGCTAGCGCCTTCAGGAAACAGCTTCAATACGACCCAGCCACGCTCAAAGCAGCACGTGCAGAGACCATCTCGCCAAGACTTGTTTTTTTTCTGTTTCTGTGCAGTGTATATGCACTCGGCGGAGAAGTCGAACCACGTTGGGGGCGCTAACATCTCCACAAAGCCGTGTGGTGCTCAACGTGAGGTGCTCAGAACCTCAAGAGGATATCCTCGACCCTCACACCACATGTCTTCAGCCCCAGCTTCAGCGCAGCTGCAAAATCCCCTGCCACCGGAATCCTGCACATTCGCAGCTGCCGATACGGCGGCCTGTACGACACCTTCCGCCAGACATTTCCTGTAATTATCATCGTAAAGCCACCATCTTTTGCTTTCTTAGCTTGCGGAATCCATCGGGGGGTGTTCCACCGACCTTACCACCACCGCCAGCCCCAGGCTACTGCGGCTCGACCAGCAGTAGGAGATCGGCGGTGGTAAACAAATAGTGGGCTGCAGTTGCTCTTTGTTCATCTTCTTCAAGATGCTTGGCGTTATTGCTTTACATATACATGGCAAAAGTAAGCTAAAGTAAGCTGCTAAGTCTTAACTCTTTAGCAGTGGTCGGTTGCTGCTCCCTGCCGGACAGGTTTCACCAGTCTGAGCAGAAACTGGCTCCTGCCATCTTCTGCCCTATGTTTGCGCAACAACTGCAGCAATGCATCTTTTGAGTATAGTTTTGGCTAATTTGTGCTTCTGCTGTTTCCTTNTTGCGCAACAACTGCAGCAATGCATCTTTTGAGTATAGTTTTGGCTAATTTGTGCTTCTGCTGTTTCCTTGCAACGGGGGCAGCGGCCCCAGTGGGCCAGTCAATAGTAACGCTCAACGAGACGACTGTGGAATCAGGAAACAATGAAGGAGGGTTATTTCGTCTGTCTTCACGAGTACGGCCGAGTCTGTCTGCGTCAGTACTAGCGGGAATTGCTATTTTTGTCTTCCTTGTGGCGCCGATGGTCCTTCATTCCCTCAGGGAACACGACAAGCTTCGCAAGGCCGAGGAGTGATGATGAAAGGGGGCATGATCGTCTCTGTTTATTTCATGCTTCTATTACAAGCGTTTGTGCAACCAGTGGCAAATTGTAGGAATTGTTGCGTCGGACTAGTTCGCCATCAGGCGGATGGTTGAGCGTTGGACTGTGGGGTAACAGTACTTCATTTGCTACGAACCAGTGCTTCGAAAGGCTGCGGAGCATAGAACCATTTTACTGCATAATATTTTGTTTTTCTTTCTCTACATTGCTGCTATTGCGAAAGCAGAGCTGAAGAATTAGTTAGTTTTACATTACGCAGCGTGCACAGAGTCGCGTAGAGCCGACTTCCAAACGCAAACTTAACTTCGGAGGGACGAGTGAAAAAAGCAGAATGAACTAGGGTCTTTGCAGATAGTAGCAATAGGAGCTGCTCAGATGCACTGTAGCATGATCTTTGCGGAGTAGGTACTCCTATGTCCACTTGCAAAGTGAGCAACAACCGCAGGCAGCAAACTGGGCTTGCTGGTGGTTGCATCTAGGATTCGTATGCAGCTTTAGTTGCGGGAAGGTCTCTTGCGACTCATATCATGTGCCTTCATCTCTCGCCTGCCTCAGGCCCTTCGGCTGCAGTGCGCAGGCTGCCTTGAGGTCGAGGGGGATGGGGGCGGCCCTTTGGAAGTACAGGTATACGTAAGCTAAGTAAACGTAGCTTACGTATACCTAAGTATTTTGACACAATTGCAGATCACGACAGTCCTCGAATAAGATCGAGGACCCTCGCTACACTTGGAACTACCGCATAGTTCCTCGGGTCATGCGAGAGCAGCTCAACTCACCCATACAGATAGGCGGCCCGCAGCATAGCAGTGAGTAGTAGCGAATACGCCCTTTCTGGAATGCATATAACGTCCCCAAAATGCCCGAAACGTCCTTCTGATTGCGGAACACGGACCTGCGGATGCTGGGTAGACTCGGCGGCCTGTCGCTTGCTGCAGTACGCGGTTCTGCAACTCCTGGTGCACGGCAACCCCACTTGCAGGTATAACGTAGCCGCCTTGCCCATGAACTAACCATATTTACAATTATTAAACACTCACTTAGCCCTCATTACCGAGTATTCATGCAAACAGGGTATATGGACGTTCCAGCCTAGGGCAGACCCAGCTACACAGGACATGGCGCATGGACGAAACGCCCATAACGAAGACACCAGGAATCCCAGAAAACAAATAGCCAGTTGAGTCATATGATTACTTAAAGTGAGAGAGTGCATTCCGCCCCCCACACGCGCTACAGTTATTTCAGTGTATGGCCCACTGACCCGTGGCCGATAAGCTTCCGATCACTGTACAGTCACGCAAGGAACACAGTTGTAAGTAATGCCTTTAGATACGCGGTGCATGGCAAACATATTCTATAATAATAGTAAAATGTGCATAGCCTTCCCATCTGCAAACAAAGACATGCACTGGACATGTACAGCATAGGCCAGTGGCCACCGAAGGACTATACACACATGCTTGGGGTGAGCGGGATGAAGTTCGTACGAAGTAACCTGTCCATATCTACATTGAAATTATTTGAGCGTTGTGATGAATATTACAGCAAACGGGCAAATAAGCCTGTTTGCCCTGCGAAATGCTTGTGCTCACGCCACTTTTCGCTGCTGCCGGGGCACTCCTGGCGGCGGCAAGTGACAGCAGTAACGTACCTGCTGCTCCTGTTCCCAGCTCTGCTCTCCTTCTCCGACAAAATGAAGGCATCGTGCAAGATGATACTGCTTTTACCCTGGAACGGAGACGGGGACGAGCAGGACAGCCGCTCTTAGCGGCAGCCTTCCTGGCTGCCACAGTTGCTATGGCGTTTTTGTTCCTTCACTGCTTCAAGGCTCTCCGATCCAACAAAAATTCAAACAGTTACGGAGTCAATGTGCGACGAATTGCGGAAGGTTATCCAAGCCCGTGCGCAGTAGGTCTTCGCCAGAAGGTACTGGCCATATGCCATCTGGCCTAGGAGTGTAGACGTAAGCGGAGCGAGTGTTTCTGCGGTTAATTGGCTAGGCAAGATCTTCGAAGGAACAACAGTAACTGTATACACCTTACCGCGATGAGCTGTGGCTACGAGGGACTTACCGCCCTGGTCATATTGATTTCCTGTATGCTCAAGCGCTATCTAGTTGTAACGGGGTGAAACTTCTCTAAGGGGAGACTCCTGAGCCCTCGGTATAGAATGATGAGTGAGTTGCACTCTTGAGAGTAAACACATTGTCGTACGGCTGCCGTCTTCGGTTGATGTATGGTGATATTGCCGACGCAGTCTGATGCGCTGTGTCGCGGTGACGACGGGGGCATTGCGAAAGAGAGAATGCGACGGTCTCAGCACCGCTGTATTGTGAGGCGAATACTCCAGCAAAGGCATTCACAGTCAAGAAATCGAAGTTATTTATCTGTACATCGTGGGACTGTTATTATTGCATGGGTGTTCGCCAGCCAATTCAGCATCTGTGTTTGACGGCGCAAGTATGCTGCCTTCTTGGCGCAGCTTCTCTCGACATACAGGCGTTGCGCTACTGCTGAGCAATATGTAGTCATACACCGTGTTGGCGCATGGCCGCAGAAGAAAGAGTGTGTTAACTAGTGATGGGACTCGTAGAGGGGGGAATGAAGCGCCGCCAAAACGTGGCTTGCGTGCTCAGAGAGAACACCGAGTAAAGGACGATGCAAANGGGGGAATGAAGCGCCGCCAAAACGTGGCTTGCGTGCTCAGAGAGAACACCGAGTAAAGGACGATGCAAATGTCATGAACCCCGTTCCTTTGGTCAATAAAGCGTTCGATGCCGTAGTTCGCCATAGAGCTATATGGGCTTGGCTTAGGGAACGCCACTGATTGTTCTGGCGTCAGGCAGAACGTCAGGAGGCGCCAGAACAATCAATGCCCGTGCACTCAGGGTGCCCCAGTACGGCACTAGACGTTTAGATCTCGGCTTGTGGTAGAGTTTGCGAGGCGCCAAGGCTCCATTTTGCATGCGTATTCACAACGACGTACTGTCAAATAGTGCGAATCCAGGAGTCGGCGCGTGATTGCCAACGCGTATGTGGCAACCCTTGCGAGGGCATGTTTCTGCCTGTTGCGGGCGTACTGTGGACCGCAGAATGGTGACCTACTCGTGGCGACTCGCAGGTGTGCCGCGAGGACGTAGTGGCCGTGGATGCTTGCAGGCTCTGCGCTGGGCATTGGCTGCTCGTTTTATTTGGGTAGTGGTCCACTTGCGTTCTTCGATTGCCTGTCGTGCACACGCCAATGTAGAAACGAAGGCATGCAACATGATTTTGACCTAGGAGGCAGTGCACTGGAGGCACGGTGGCTGCGGACATGTTGGGCGGCACATGCAACTCTGTGCTAACCGCGACGGCATGCTCTGCGTGGTTTTCTGCATATGGAGTCAAGGCGCAATGTCTTTAGTAGCAATTGCTAGGGT